AGATAGGGGGCTGTATTAGCCTCCTCCCATCACAGGATGACGGATCATCAGGTGACAGTAATAGGTGACAGCATGTTCAGTTAATTCTCTTATCTTTAAGACATCCAGACTCTCTGGTCAACCCCACATGCAAAGCAGATAATTGATTTATCAGAGTTCATGATGATAACTAGTAGATCACATTGGACTTTGCAGACATGTCAGAAGACACAGCAGTTGTTACAATTTCCTGCATCAGACATAAAAAAACCCTACAACTCAGAGACTTTTACCTAGTCCAGCCCCACAGGTAGTCAGATGCATCCTGGTAACATGAGTTTTTGCCAGGCCTTGGAGCGAAGAATTGGCATTATCACCCCAGAAAGCTGGAGAAGTGATTCTCACATGTGTATTGTGTGGCCTGTCAAGTCCCTTTCTCAATCCTGAGATTTTTCAACTTCAGATAAAGGTGAGCCTCCTCTGTGGGGCCTGGTTAGCCACCCTGTTCCTATCCTAAGCAAACCCTCAGGTCTTATAGGCTGAAGATGCTGCTTTCATAGGCCAATGTACAGGCTCTTAGCCCATGGGTAATATTCCCTGCCAAACACAGCAATCACTCTACTTAGATCATCCCATGGAATCCCGCTTCTCTTCCTGCAGCCCTCCTTTGAGCAAAAATTGGCTCACACCAACAACCCAGAAAGAGTTACAATCTTGGTCTTCTGAGAGCAAGAATATCCCTCCTTTCTGGAATGCCCCATGTGGCAACCCCAAAGACCCAGCCTTTAGTATTTTTTCCCCCCAGGTCTTAGCTCTCCATCTTTCTGGGTCTCATGCTCCCTTCTCAAGACAAGTGAGGATGATTGATCTAATTGAACTTTCACACTTCTGCAAGGCATAACTTCTGGCTTTGTCTGGTTCTCTTGCCAAAAGACTTTGGGCTTCTCTGATTAATATCCTTCATCACTTACTCCTCCTAAACTTGCCTGCCTCTGCAGTGCCAGGGAGTGTTCCTTGGCTAACACTGTCATCCAAGCAACTTAGCCAGGCACCTAAGCCCTTTCCTATGCTTTACCTAACTGGCCTTGATTTTTCATCCTTCTACACCATTTATAAAAGTGCTTTGGCCAGGCATGGTGACTTCTGCCTGTGTAATCCTAGCACTTTGGGCAATAGCAAGAATCCCCTCTACAAAAAATAAATTAAAAAAAAATTAGCTGGATATGATGGTGGGCACCTGTAGTCTGAGCTACTTGGGAGGCTGAGGCAGGAGGATTGCTTGTGAACCCAGGACTCTGAGGTTGCAGTGAGCTATGATGGCACTTCTGCACTCAAGCCTGGGTGACAGAGCAAGACCTTGTCTCAAAAAAAAAAAAAAAATGCTTTTGGTTTTTTTTTTCAGCAACCTCCTCAGTGGCTATCGTGCGCTTTTTGTGGTTGCAACAGGCAGGCTTTCTGCGGCCATCTGCTAGTTTCTTCTGTAGCAGGCCAGGGAAAACTAAGTAATTCGCGGTCCCTACCCTCACAGAGATTCCAGCCGTGAGGAGGCAACAGAGCTGAGCTGCACACCTGTTCCATCCTGGCTCCCTTACTCAGATTCCTATGAGGGCTGGACCAACGGAGGTCAGGCTAGTTCACCTCCCCATAGGGTGTGGTCTCTCCAGGATGTGAAGATAAAACTAAGATGCCCTAACTGCTCAGGGCAGGAGAAGCGAGTAAGCCTCCAAAGGCACAGGGCTACCCAGACTTAGAGTCCTGGCCCACCGGCAGGTCACAGGCATCCCTGCTCAGGGTGGGAGGCAACAGCTGCCATTGGTGAGAGTGTGGGATCGTGGGTGGCTGTGGCAAGGGTGGCGTTGTCGGTGTTGCTATTTGTGTCTCAGTTCAGTGTCACATCGCCTATTCCTAGCTATTTTCCACTGGCAAGAAAGGCCAAATGGGAGAGTCCTTTCAGTTCCCAGCACCAAGCTCCTGCCACTGGGGAGAATGTTTGTTTTTCCTTTCTGGCTGGATTTGGAAGTCCTCGTCTAG